GAAGTTAAGTTTAAGTCATAAGGTGAGATCAAGGGGGAGAATATTAGGTTGATCTCCATCAATTGGCTCAAGCCCTTGATCCGCGTCCGCGTCCTGATTGAGGGCGTTCAGCCTTTCTACTGACTGATGGGCCCCTGTCGCACAGCATAATAAATAGGAGGTGGGAGCTGGAACTCGAGACACGAGGTTCACTACAGTCGCCAGCATCACCATGATTACTAGCCCTAGTCCAAGCACCATCGCCTTCGTTACCGCCACCAGACTGGGTCTGCACTGCTACTAGTTCGTCGCTCGCGTCATGGGTGTGACTGAATACTCAAGGTGAGGTATATCGATAAGTCTTTTTATCTAAGCTAAGTATTACCACTTATTTACGTGTAGAAGTACTTTCAGTTCTGTCATACAGTAGTACTATCCTCTACCGGAGCAGTAGGTCTCATGATCGCGGACGTGTACGTGGCTTCGAAGGATACACGGCACGCTACGATTGTCGGCGCACTTGGAGCCGGGAACTAGCCCAGCTTAACACGTGTCCTTAACAAGATCATGCGATGTGCATGTTACATCACCGTGTCAATCCTGCGTTGGAGAGTCCAGTGGACTAGTACCACTTTCTATTCATGTGTTAAGTGCCGCGCCACGAGCTGTTAGAAATTTATAGAGTTCGTCCCATGAGATTTGCCAACGGAGGTCACATTTATGCCTCCACAGCCTGGCATTCCGCAGGCAGTCCCCCACGGAAAATCAAACAAAAAACGAACCAAACTGGAAGCCGAACTCACTCGGTCCCAGTCCGTACATGTGGAATCTGCTCCTTCTGAGTCCTGACTCCAAAGTCCAGAAGCATACAGTCTCTTCGTTTCGGCTTATTCGCTCGTATCTGTCTTATAATCCACAATTTAACAGTGTTTTTCTCTCACACTAAACCAGCCAGCAGTACTTTCAGCTATGACTTATAAGCCAATTCAGCCGAAACGAACAGGCTGATAGAAGCCCCGCCCCGGCGCCCAGATGCGCCGAGCGTTCATCCCAAGGATGGCAGGATTAATGGCGCTGCAGTGGGTTAGGGTCTTGATTAAATTCAAGGCTTAAAGTTTTAGAGTATCAGATTCGGTGTCATACGGGAGTGTCATATGGGGTGTTTGGATATTAATAAAAAAAATTACAGAATCCGTCAGTAATCCGCGAGACGAATTTATTAAGCCTAGCTAATCCGGCGTTATCAAATTATCAAATAAATTATAGAATCACATGTGTTATTGTAGCACTACATTATCAAATCATGAACTAATTAGGTTTAAAAGATCCGTCTCATAAATTAGTCACAAACTATGTAATTAGTTATTTTTTAATTTATATTTAATACTTTATACATATATTCAAGTATTGAATGAGATAGGAAGTAAATTTTAGGTGGGGAAGGTCTGGGTCCCCCGTGCGCCTCCTCACTGACGTACTACTCCAGTGACATCACGTCACAAACGAGTTGGTTTGGCGGGCCACCGCAGTCGGTGCTGTCGTGCCGCTCTCGCACTGCCGCGACCGCATTCCCTGCGCCTGCGCGCGCGCGGGCGGCCGGGCAGGCGACGGGGGCACGGCGACGCGCGTCGATCCGGCCGCCGTCCCTGCCAAAGTGCCAAGCAATCGGGGAAGACCGACCATCTAGTGATGGCCTGATGGGCGATCTCAAATCTCACCTCTCGCCCGCTCTCTCGCTTTCCTTCCGGTTGCCACGGGTGGGAGACCGCGACCTGCCTGCCGCTCGCGTCGGCGTCACCGCTCGCCACCCGCCTTCTCCTAGTCCCAAAACGACCGCGTCGTCGTGTTCGGCCGCTCGCCACATCCCACATGGCCCGCGCCGCGCGTGCGTGACACGGCAGCGCACGGTCGGCGTCCGGCGAGAATTGGCTGATCCGCCGGCTCCCCTCGCCGGTTTGCTGCCGGAAAACGCTCCGGCGCGCGGCTGGCCGGCTGCTCCGGAAGTGGAAGTAGAAGTAAGTAGGAGTACAAACGTTTATCAGTCTGATGGTTGGGTCTCCTACGTAGGACAAGCTGGTCATGCACGCAAGGATATTTTTTCTACCATCAGGTTATTCAGGTCAGCAGACAATACGATCGAGACGGAAATGTTTTTATATACGTTACAGGTAGCACTACTAGGAATTGACAAGCATTGTTGGGCTGAAATCGTCCTGCGTAGCCTCAGCCTGCACGACACACACCGGTCAGCGTCGTCAGCTGCATACAAATCGAACCAACACGATCGACGTCCTTGATACTATACTCGTCAGTGTCTATCCTCGTCTTATCCTTTCGGTAAGTATGTCTGCCGAAAGCACTGTTTTATAGCAGTTGGACATTTGGGAATTCTACCCCCTCCGTCTAAAAAAGTGCTCTGTTAGATTCTAATCAAAATCAAACTATTTTACCGTTTAATCAAATTATAGAAAACAGTGTCAACAATTATGATTAAAAACAGTAATATAATAAAAAGAATATATTTTAGGATAAATCTATTCTAATAGAACTTAATTGATATAATAAATAATAGTATGACTTAGCACTTTTTTTTTTGATCGTGCCTTAGCACGTTTTTCATTAAGCAGAAGCTTTAGCTTGTTCGGCTGCCACTGCAGCTTCAGCTGTTGCTGCAGCTCCATAACTATGGACTACTGTAGCATGAACTAGAGAAGCTGCAGCCGCAGCCCGAAGAAGCTGCAGCGAGCACACCGCATCCATAATCTCAATTGTTCTTTTTGGGTGGGGGGGTGTTCTTATTCGTTGGAGTACAAATAACCAATAGTGTCCTTGCAACGTCGAGGGACGAGTTGGCCTTTTTAGCATCCATAATGTCCAATAAGCAGGTGTCAAGTGGATTACATGATTATTACAATCCGCTGCTTGAATTATAAAAGTAAACTACTCAATAACCTCTCATATTTTGATCACTATTAGATTATTTTAGCTGATTATTGTAATCTTACTATGATCCAAATAAGGCCTAAAAGTGATTTTTTGGGACAGAGGGAGGTCGTGGTACCGTTGTACTATTTTTGAAAATTTTAGTGATTATTACTACGACTAATTAACTGTAGGTAATAGTACCGAGGGCACTTCTCACCGTAACTATCAGATTTCCACTATTAGGAGCTGCTTATATGAACATCCTATAATACTAGGGAACAAGAAACAATACGAAGTACTTACAATATGAAAGGTTTATGAAGCATTAGAGAAAAAATATAGGATTTTTTGAGTTAATTGTTCATCAGCAAGAGAGAGAAGGAAAAAATGCTTTAGAACAATCAATAACTTCTTGCTACATTTCTCCATAATGTGCATGTAATCTAGTATTTGACCTATATAGGCAACGTGCTATGTATGTGCACCTTTTCTTTTGCCAATGTACAAGTAACTATAATTGATATTCGGAAAAGAAAAAAAAAACTACTCCAATTGATGATACCGTCATAGAAAACCTGCCAGAGTCGCCATCAACTTAGATCGAATGAAACTTAAATAAAAAGGACTCTTATCATAGACGACTATCCTGCACCTGTCCCAGTGCGCGCATTGAATTCGTGATTCGATTGGCAGCACGCAATACAATTCAGAAGTACAGCAACTAACAGTAACACACGCTTTATTTTTTTTCCCATTTGACCTTGAGAGAATACAGTCCAGCAGCAGTATTTTTTATCTTTCGCGCAGGCCATCTAATCCCCCGTTGAAACCCACGTAATAACCACGTGCAATCCTCATGGATCCCAACGTAGCACTTCCCTTTTACTTTCGCAGTGAGTAGAGCACTCGCGATTTCTTTTTCCACTTCTGGGGCTATTTTCGTCCTTTTTTCGCCCTTTTGCGATGTGTATGGGAGTTAATGAGTTATGGACCCATCGGCCATCGGCGATGGCGCCCTGTCCTGCCTCTCCAATCGCTCGCTTTCCACCCCTTGCCTCTCCAACCTCCACCAACGAATTCTTTGCCCAATGCGCTCATCGTCCCCGTCACCCCGCCCCATCGCACCACCATCGCCGATCCTATTGTCCACATTTCCCATTCCTCCCACGTAGGCCACAGCATCGCGTCATCTGCGCTCCGCCTCCTTCTCGCCGGCTTCCTGTGATCCTGTCGCTGTCACCGTCTCGTTGTTTGCTACCGCCACTGCCGCACCGGCTGGCCTGGCTGCGCTAAAACAGCAGCCGCGCCCGCGATACGCTGACCGGCGACGGCGGCCGGCAAGACTGGCCGTTGGTCCGGTCCTCCCCCCTCCACCTCCGCGCAACGGCGCAAGGGACGGGACGGGGCCGGCCTCGGCCTCGTGCTTTTTGTGCGTGGTTGGAGTGGTTGAGCCGATGGCGACGATCCCGCGCGGCGTGGCGCCATGACGGCAGCCATTTTAATACGCGCCCCAGCAGCTGAAACCTGACAAGCTAACCAGATTTTAGGTGGTTACCCGTGTCGCCTCCCACACCTCGCCCTTCGCCGCGACGCCTCCTTTTCCGCCCGCCCAGGTCCGGCCCGGCCCCGACCTGGCCGCAGGATATAGTTCCCGCTCTCGTCGCTTGCGCTTGTATCTTCCTCCTCGTCTCAGGCCTCCCCCGCCGCGCCCGCGCCTTTCGGTTCGGGTTCAGCGAATTCAGCCACAAAGCCAGTGGGTGGCCGGAGAGGCCTTACCCAGCAGCTAGTTCCTGGTAACGGAACTCGCTCGCGCGCTCGCTTTCCAGTTTACAGTACAGGGCTCAGGCGACGACCGCCGCCTCGGCAGTTTTCTATTCCAGCGTCGCGGTTCCAGGTCAGACATTGGTTGCAGGCTCGCAGCCAGTTGCCCGGCGCCGGATCGTCTTGTGACAGCAGCAAGTCCACGGTGGTTAGTGGTTGAGCAAACCAGTGGCCTGGCTTGGCTACTTACCAGCTTGCTGTGCCATGGACAACTGCGGTTCCTGCTGATCTCGGGAGCTCCGAGCCGGCTCTCGGCCATCGGTTGTGGGCGCGTCATGGCGGCGGACCACGGGGAGGGCGTCGGCCGCTGCATACTGGTGGGGCTGCACATGGACGCCGTCGGCAGGGACCTGCTCCGGTGGGCGCTCCACCACGAGTCCAGGCGGGGCGACCGCATCGTCGCCGTGCACATTTACCGAAAGTCCGGTTGGTATCTGCCATGAACAAACTTGGCAGCTCGTTTCAATTCCAATCCCGGTGAAGTGGTTGGGAATTATTAGCGTTTTTTCTTCTCTTGATTGACATTTTCTTGTTTCTCGTTGCAGACAAGACGAACACACTGAAGCTGATCAGGACGCTGGACGACTACCTGGCGGAGTACGAGGCCCTCTGCAACCAGAAACAGGTGAGCAAGGATGGGCAGGAATGAGAGCAGTGGGCCGGTGCCGACTGCTACGGGTTAATTGTGTGCCATGTTGCTGCAGATTCAATTCACATGCTGCCATTGAATGATCTGTGTCAGGTCGTTCTCGTCGGCCGGGTGACGCCGGGGAGCTCGATCCAGAAGGAGCTCGTGAAGGAGGCCAAGCTCTGCGCCGCCATGGTCGTTGTGCTTGGCGCCAATAAGAAGTACTCCTTCGGGTAAGCACGCTGGCAGCAACCTTTCTATGATCTAACTGGTTGTTTCGTCACCATTCCTTAGCAGCTCCTTTTTTTCCATTTTGGTTGCGGTTGCGCAGAGGGTCGTCCTGCCTGCCCAAGTACTGCGCCAAGAAGCTGCCGCCGACAACCACCGTCGTCGCCATCCAGGACGGCAAGGCCGTCTTCGTCCGGGAGGCGCCCAAGCCGCCACTTGGTAATCAAGTGCCCCTTAACTAAGTGTGGTTATTAGTTATGGAGGCTTTGGTTGCGAGTCGCTAATCGTTTGGTGGCGAGCTGGTGTGCAGGAGCAGAGCCCAAGCCGGTGCTCCGCACGGTGCTGCACCGAGCGTGGGGCTGGAGCCCAAGGTGATCATCCCGAACCCGAACCGGAGCGCGCGGTTCATGGACTTCGACGCCCGGAGCTGCGGCCACGGCGCCGCGCGGCCGCGGCGGCAACGAAGTCCTCTTCGACGACGCCACCGAAGGCGACGGCAGCGTGACGCTCGAGCAGAGGCTCGGGTGGCCGCTGCTCCGCCGCGCGCACGCCGCCGCCGCCGCAGCTGCCCCTGTACAAACGCCCAGCGCCAAGAATCAGGAGCCGCGGAAGCAGTCGGTGGTGCACTGGGTGATGAGCCTGCCCCGGCGATCCGCGCCGTCGGAGTCCACCGAGCCGCATGCCGGGGCGGGACTCGAGTCGGAGCTCAAGGCAATGCTTGGTGGCAGTGGCGCCCGGTGCCGGTGGTTCCGCTACGAGGAGCTCTACGACTCCACCAGCCACTTCTCCGCAGGTTCTTTCTTCGTTTCCTGATCGTCAATCTCGCGCCTTTCAGGTTTCAGCTCACACGATTCGTCATCACCAAGAGACCAACCCCTTTCTTGGCTTGTCGCAGAGAACCTGATTGGGAACGGAGGGAACAGCAGGGTGTACAGGGGCAGCCTCGCCTGCGGGCAGCAGGTGGCGATCAAGCTGTCCAAGGCGTCGGCGCAGGCGTCCAAGGACTTCCTCCGGGAGGTGGACATCATCACCAAGCTGCAGCACCACCGGATCGTCCCCTTGATCGGCGTGTGCGTGGAAGGCCGCAACCTCATCTCCGTCTACAGCTACCTCCCCAGGGGCAGCCTCGAGGACAACCTACACGGTACCAGCACATGTCGACAGTTACATGTTCAGTTGTGTTCATGCGAAGTCACCGAACCCAATTCGCCTCAGCACGGTGGATTTGCTTCTAAGGAACCGGGAATTCTGCAGACAACGATTCGTACAAGAGACTAGTTTTTCTCAGGAAACAGAAACGGGTCGCGTTCAGAACGGTTGAGACATGAGAGGTGTGGGAGCAGTTGAGTTCTTCACTCTGACGTCTGATGATGCTGTGGTCTGCAGGAGAAAGGTCAAAGCCAGCGCTGTCATGGGAGAACCGGTACAGGGCGGCGCTGGGGATCGCGGAGGCCCTGAGCTACCTGCACTCCGGCAGCTCGCGGCCGGTGATCCACCGGGACGTCAAGTCGTCCAACATCCTCCTCGCGGAAGAGTTCGAGCCTCAGGTAGTTACGAACACTGACGCACCACCATGGATCCTAGTCGTAGCGAAGCTTTTCTTTTGTACTTTTGAACTCTGAACTCCCCGTTGCGGCAGCTATCCGATTTCGGGCTGGCCATCTGGGAGCCGACGAATCCAACCTCCCTGACGCACAGCGACGTCGTCGGCACATTCGGGTACCGCCTCCCTCCAAGCCTGTTTCTCGGCGGCGTTGTATTTGTACCCAAGCGCTCTGTGGTTCGTCCACACCAATTGATGTTTTTTTACTGTGCGATTGCAGGTACCTGGCGCCGGAGTACTTCATGTACGGGAAGGTGACCGACAGGGTGGACGTGTACGCGTTCGGCGTCGTCCTGTTGGAGCTCCTGTCCGGCCGGAAGCCCATCAGCAGGGACGGGTCGTCACCCAAGGGCCAAGAGAGTCTCGTCATGTGGGTAAGAGCGCCATCCTATCCTACCGATCAACCATCTCATGTCTAGTAAGTGGTAATTCAGCACGCAGAGGAGAGAGTAACAATTGTCTTGGCGTGACAGGCAACTCCGGTGCTAAGCAGCGGCGACATCTCTGACCTGCTGGACCCGAGGCTGGACGTGAAGCACGACGAGGTGGAGGTGAGGCGGATGGCCTCTGCGGCATCGCTCTGTCTCCGGAGGTCGGCTCGACTCAGGCCGCCGATATCGCAGGTCAGCCAGCTTCCAACCAGCTTTAGCTCATGCAATCTGCATTTCACTGAGCAGTTTATTGTGCCGTGCAGATACTGAGCATACTACGAGGAGAAAGCATGGCGGGCATCGCCGACCAGGGCGCAACGGAATCGGACTGCCTGGACGACGAGGCTTACCCGGCGGCGAACGTGAGGTCCCACCTGGACCTCGCGCTTCTTGACGTGGAAGACTCCGAGTCCATCTCTAGCACGGAGAACAGCAGCGGCCTCAGCCCGTTGGAGGAGTACCTGCGAGAACGTTGGAGCCGATCGTCCAGCTTCGACTGATTCGCGCCTGCGATTTTGTGGTCATGTATTTTCATTTTTTTTCTTTCTTCACCCTCTTCACCGGTACTTCACATGTTTGTTGTATGGTTTGGTTACCGGGACCGTGTACAGTATACAATCAAAAATCACCAGAGCCACATTTTCGGCGACAAAAGGCTTGTTGACAAAGTTTCGACAGGGAAAAGGGTACTTTTCGAGCCCTACTGTTGTTATTTTCACTTACAAGAAAATGGTGAACACTTATCAGTTGCTGAAATTAATCCATATACATTGCTGATAAGGGAGATTATGGATAGAACAAATACTGCGTGTCATACAACAATAACAGCGTAGAAACAAACTTTTGCAGTTAACCGCTTACATGGGCAGACCAGTGCAAGAGGCTCCCACACGAGTGGTGTCTGAAAAAGGGAGACAAGCATTTCCCCCGTAAAATCTACGGAGAGGTTGTTTTGAACCCACGACCTGGTGACTCAGTGCGACAGCTCTCACTACTGCACCAGGCCTGCCATTTCAGTTCAACTGCTTACATAAATGAGAGAAATAATTAACCAACATTACATTAAAATTTAGCCAGAACTCTATTGGCCTCAAATAAACACTATTGGAACAAAGCTGGAAAACTGCGGCAGGGAGCCATTATCTCCCACATCCACATAGCTCTCTCCCAACATCTCATCTAATTCTCTTTATCTACCTCAACAGATGTTTAAAATGGTACGACATATGGCAGTTGGTAGATATGAAGGTCCGGCAAAAAAGTCGCCCTGGGTTGCAAAGAAGGCCTCTGCACCATTGGATGGATCGGCTCTACACCATCAGTTGCTTTGCATTGAGCCATGCTAGCATCAGTTTTCCTTGTACTGCTGAACAGCCAGTCTTTATCACCAAGTTCTGAACCTTCATTCTCTATCAATACTGGATTCCAGGTGACAAACAGATCTCTGAAATTTTTTTCTTTCTTCTCAGCTTTTCGGATTTTCTTCCAATCTGACCGGGAGAGCTTAGTATCCTGCACTTGAACTGCTTCCGCATTCCTACCGGAGAAGCAAGGCTCTTCTTTTGGAGAAGAGGTGATGGGCTCCTGCTGCTTGAGAACAGGCAAGTCCTTGGGCTTTTGCAGAACAGGAGGCTGCGGAGCTTCTGGCAGGCAAACAGCAGATCCCGTTTCCTTCTGTAACACCTTTGCTAACTGAGGATCAACTTTCTGCAACACCATGGAAGCTGGATGAACTCTCTGTGACATCTTAACAGGTGGAGGATCAAATATTCCCATCACTATAGCAGGTGAAGGGCCCACACTTCCCAAAAACTTCGGAGGTAGGTCCGATCTTCCAACTGGCGCCTTAACAGATACCGCAGGATCAACCGGATGTGTGACCTTCGCTGGAGGCTGGGGGACAACTCTCCGCATGGTCTGTGATGGGGTTTCTGTAATCAAACATTTTTGTACTGCTTGGGAGTCACCATTTACCCTCTGCTGAGCAGAGGTAGATCTCACATTCACCTTATGATGGATTGAATTTTGCTTGCCCAACAAGGATGAGCCTGATCCCATTTGTTGGACCAATGGTTGCTCAAGAACCCTTGACTGGGATTCTTGATTACTTTTTATCTTGATGCGAAGGATGTTCCCTGTAAAATGACAAGTCAGGATGAATAAAATCTTGAAACAAGTGATTGATTTTTTTTCTAATAAAAAAATCAAAATAACAAAAACAAGATAATAGTCTCACCATTCTTAGCTTGGCTAGGACTGGGCAGAACAACCTTTCGTCTCTTGCTGCTGTCCTGTGAGCTCTCAGGAGAGTCACGAATCGTCTGTACAAAACAAGGAGCTCCATGCTCTTCTGAGAGTCCACTCTTCTCCAACTGCTCAACTGATTCTTTGGATTCCCTTTTGGGATCCTGCCCAGCTTTGATGACATCTTCAAGCTTTCTCTTCTTATGGCTGTGCTTTGAATGTTTGGACGTCTCACCCAGCTGGGGAGCTTTCTTGTCACTCCTTTTCTCTTTCTTCTTTTCGGCCTTTTCCCTTTCTTTCTGGAGCTTCAGCCACCAGAGCAATCGTCAGTTCTGATTTAGAACGGACGACAGGAAATGCAATGCAGCATTTTGACAATATCATGTATTATGATATTTACAAGGATACAAGAAATGAATGTAGCATTTGCGTACAGTTCAGAAAGTAATGCTTCACAAAGATTATTCAATTAGAGAATTCTCTCATTCAATTATCATTGACTCATAATTACACAGTTAGCAACAGAATTGTATTCGTTTACAATCATGTTGAACACATTACTTTCTTGACAACAGTTTAAGACCTGCAACACTGCACGCTCTATAGAACAAAAAAAACTAACAATGAACACAATAAATGGTGTTAGATGCTATTGATATACAGAACCAAAGTAATTCTGAACTCCTTTGGTCAACAAAACAGTGACACATATTACATCAGAAAATAAGAGAACACAAATGCATGTACTGACCTGCAGGAGCACAGGAGCAAAATAAGAAAAACGACAAAACAGT